AACAAGGCAGACGCATGAAGCCGCCCCGGACATGTGGCAGGCATTAGATCGACGGGATGAACATTTACTCAAGGGTCTATTCCAACATGAGTACTCCGTGGACACAAAAATTGCTACGGCACAAAACCAGAAGCTGTTACAGTGGAAAAAGACTTAGCTGTAAGGAAGGGCACAGGAAAGATTTGGGTACCGAACTATGCCTCGCTTAGACAAATTCTACTGGAGGAGTTTCACGACGTACCATACGAGGGACATTTCGAAAGCAACAAGACGTTAGCAGGGATTGCGAAGTATGACTACTGGCATGGGATGGCAGCAAACGTGCAGCAGTTCGTCACCTCATGCGACACGTGCCAGTGGATGAAGAGTAGCAAGCAGAAAAAAGAAGGGTTACTTCAGCCTCTACCTGTACCGGAGCAGCCATGGCAGGTCGTTAGCCTCGACTTCATCACAGGACTTCCTTCGACCTCACAGAGGCATGACACCATCCTCGTAGTGATCGATAAGTTCTCCAATATGGGTCACTTCATCCCGACAACGCCACAGCTACAGCTGAAACAACTGCTCGCCTCTTCTTCGATCTCATCATCACCATCCACGCCATCCCCACTACACTCATCTCAGACAGAGATGCCATGTTCACAAGTATGTTCTGGAAGGAGCTCATGGGCCTGCTGGGGACTAAGCTTGCGATGTCTTCAGCATACCACCCCCAGACTGTCGGACACATAGAGCGACTCAATCAGGTGGTTGAACAGTTACTGCGCACAGCTTGCAAAGACGATGTCAGCCACTAGAACACGTAGTTACCGACCCTAGAGTTTGCTTACAACAACGCGTTATATGCGGCCACAGGGAAAACTTCTTTCTTCCTCTGCTACGGACGGGAACCACTTACACCACATCAGCCAATCACACCGGCACACATCCAAGCCGCTCATAAGTAACGGCATCTTCAGCACCAGCCCCTGCAGCAGAGTCAACGACGGGTCTTGCAGCAATAGTGGGGTTTTGTTAGGCCTGGGATCACTAGCCATGGTGGGCATCGTGCGGTCCTTCTAGTGGGCCCTGCCAATATTATCTGCAAAGTGGTAAAAGCGCTAGCTTCATCTGCAGCCGTCATGATCATTTTGCTGAGTAATGCTTTGGCCACCTTACCGACCTCTTTCGCACCCGCTTCGGGCTTTCAGTGCACGTCCCGGACTGGGCTGCACTGCTCCGCCTGGGCGTGCCCATGTTTATTATGGACATGTCTTATGAACCTGTTGCTTTGTATTTAGCAATGTATGCTGATAGTGCAGCCGACTCTTATTATTCGTGTGTGCCTAGACAAGGATATTTAATTGTCTCTAATGTAGGATCTTCTATTGTTGCAAATGCGTCACTCTCCTTCACGCCAAATTCTAGCATGTCGTAATGTTACTTTCGCGATCACCGCTGGCCTCTTGCCACTTCCCGCTCCAGTTGTAGTCGCTTTAGCTTATCCTTCCACCAGACCAGACGTCGCTTCCAGCGCTATTACTCTCCCATGTCTGGCGGTCTTCTTTAGCTCCCCTCATAGCTCTTAACGTCCCCTCGTTCTCCAGGAACTTGGTGGGTGTCGGTTGTCTTTAGAGCCTCGGTATCACCACCACGTTTCCTCGACATGAGTGGTCTGCGACCTGTACGAACGCTACCACTGGACCATCTTTTGCCACGTTTCCCAGGGAGCCCGCGTCAGGCCTATTCTCACTGGGTCTTGCTAACTGTCTGCATCTTGTTAGGTAGTTGCGTCGTGTTCGTTTCGGTCGCTCCTCACTCATTCGTCGCTCCTATGGCACCACTGTCTAGGTAACCCTGCCCTCCCGCATAACCGCCACATAGCTCAGCGCCGTCTTATCTCAGGTCTCTCGTTGCCGTTCCCCCCCCTCCCTCCTTCGTCTGCATGGCCGTGCATTCCTTGTGTCGCGGGTAGGCAACGCGTCGGCCCTCCCTCCTCTTTGTCTCACGCACTTGCAACTTTTTAGACTCTGCACATGGACCTATGCGGACGTGCCTTAGTCGGTGGGCCTCATGGGGAGCACTACTTTCTGGTTGTTGTGGACAATTTTCCCGTTAAGCCATGGTGTTTCCCTTGCTGCAGAAGGTTAGCATGTTTGACACTCTCCTCCCGTGGCTCATGGCCGTCCGCACCCAGTGCGCCCGGACTGTGCTTCGTCTGCACTCTGAGCGTGGTGGCAATTTCACCTACAATCGTGCGGAGGGCATCCGCAAATCTGGTGGGGTGTTGTATATACCTGGTGTTCTGCGATTGTCAAGACATTGCTTATCCTCTCAGCATCCTTGCTCACCTTGTTGCGACTAGTAGGCATCAACCCATGCATTGGTCAGTCTCTAGGGGGGTATTACACAGTCTATCCAATACATCGGGCATGGGGCTCGCATTATTTAAACGCTAGTCCTGTCGCAGGCAAATGTCTTACATGAGCCAATTTGCTTAGGTATGCAAGTAGTGGGCAGGGCTCTCGCAATTATTTGAGCACGTTTGACGAAAAGTTCGTGCCTGCTTAATATATCATGCATTTTTTTCTCAGGATTCTAAATTGTCGCACACATTGTAATCGTAAGTTGTCTAGGGCAAAATCAAAGCGATGCCATAACTCACATGTGTGAGAATGAACGAGAAAATGAATGCACTATGAAAGAGTTGGGTACAAGTACTAACCCTGATTGGGTTGTTCCCCATAAAGGCTACCCCACTACAGCCTACACAAAAGCATAAGCTATAATGTTCTTACACACCCCCATAGGCAAAGTGGGGGAGTACAAGGGGTCACAAGACCAGTCAAGCAAAGTAAAGCAAAGCAAGCTCAGGGTGGATCACAAAGTCACCACACATTACGAGCACAAGGTCAAGGCCACAAGGCCAGTTCACATGCAGGAGTACATATACATATAAAAGGCTAGACAAGCAAGAGCAGGTGTATATATATATATGTAACAGTACAAGCAAGGTCAAGAGGTGAGCAAGTGAGGCAAGGCAGGCACAAGACCCAGCTGAGTACAGAAGCGCTGATGATCACAAGGCGCAAGCGCCTTGGTGAATATATCAGTAGTGTTGGCCTCAAAGGCCACGTACGCAAGACGCAGCTGACCACGTTGCTGCAGCTCACGAGCTAGGAAGTAGCGGAGAGCAATGTGCTTCATTCTGTGCTCCAGTCTCTGCTCTTGACACAAGGCCAGCATGGCCTTGTTGTCTACGTACAGCACTGGAGGAGAACGAGGTGGCTCTCCGAGGTCAGTCAGCAGGTAGGTGAGCCAGCAAAGCTCCTGTGCAACCATGGCCCCGGCGTAGATCTCAACCTCACAACTGGAGCCGAGAACAGAAGACGAGCGGGTAGCCCGCCACGAAACAGAGCCGGAACCAAGGCTGAAGGTGTAACCCTGTGATGACCGCTGCGTAGCCTGGTCGTCAGCCCAAGAAGCGTCTGCGTGCCCAGTAAGGACCACTGGACTCTGCCCTCCAAGCACAAGCCCCATGCCTGACGTACTGCACAAGTAGCGCAACACCCTCTTCGTTGCAGCAATGTGCTCCGGTCTGTGTCTCCCAGGAGCAACATAGCGTGCGAGAATGCTAAGAGGGTATGCAAGGTCAGGTCGAGTGCAGGTCATCAGGTACATGAGGCAGCCAACAAGCTCTGGGTACGGGCCACTTGACTCTATGGACTCATCCGAAGGCAGAGCTGAGAGCGAGTGGCGAGTAGGCAGAGGAGTGGCCTGAGGCGAGGAGTACGTGAAGCCGAAGCGCTGAAGGACCTGCTGTCCAAGAGCCGCAAGTGTAGTCCTCAGTGAACTCAGGGGTGCGGAACCATTCCACCTCATTGGCGATCGCGATCAACCCTGGTGTTGGTGAGATGGTTCTACACTTGTGGCGTGCTCTGTCCCGGGTGATCTGCAAGCCAAGGTAGCTGCGCAGTTCACCCAGGTCTGTGCACGTGTGTCTCTTCTGCAGCTCGGACTTCACGTGGGCGAGTCCAGCAGTGTCAGCTTTGGGAAAGACCAAGTCGTCGATGTACACGAGGATGTAGAATGGCGGCAAAGAAGTGTCGGTGCGCAGAAACGGCGACGGGTTGGCAGTAGAGGGAGCAAACCCAAGAGCCGCAAGTGTAGTCCTCAGTGTGTCGTGCCACTCACGCGGTGCCTGGCGGAGACCGTAGACTGGCCGCCAGAGGCTCCACTGGGTGCCAGGAGGAAAAGACCCAGTGAAGCCAGGTGGGCGGTGCAGCCAGATCTCCTCGTGCAGGCTGCCCTGCGGGAAAGCAGTGCTGAAGTCAAGAGAGTGAAGCTCGTAGTCACGGTGAGCAGCTATGTGCAGCAGTACCCAAAGAGTGGTCATCTTCGGGGTGGGAGAGAAGGTCTGAAAGTAGTCAACTCCCTGCCGCTGACTGAAGCCACGAGCCACGTAACGCGCCTTGAAGACAGGCGGAGAACCCGTCGGCCGCTTCACCCTGAAAATCCACATGCCACTGACGATGTTCGCCCCAGGCGGGGGAACCTCGTCAACGTAGGTGCCTGTGGACTTCCAGGAAGCCATCTCTGCGTCCATAGCTGCCTACCACTAAGAGGAGTAGGGACCCTCTATCGCCTCAGCGTAAGAGCGCGGAGTCGGGATGTCAAGTGCATCCGGGTCTCCCTCAGGGGTAAGCAGTACGGACACGAGATGAGGTGAAGCAGCTGCCAGACACTGGAACTCCTCCTGCATGTCCTCAAGGACGTCTGTGCCAAGGGCACACTCACCCCCGACGGACGGAGGACAGACAGACTCAGACTTAGCAACAAGACTGGCGGCGTAGTCTAGGCGACAGTGAGCAGCAAAGTCGACGAGCTCAGCAACTAGGGCAGACGCAGCAGTGGACTCAAAGGAAGGGTCACTGACAGCAGTAGCTAGGAGACGCGTGACAGTAAGACAGGCGGCACGAAGAGAGTCCGACTCCGGGTCGGCAAGAGCAGGAAGAGAAGACTCAGGAGGAGAAGGTAAAGGGGCACGCAGAGGAGCAATGGACGGACGCAGAGACATCCGATGCGTGCCAGGGACAGGAGGAGGACGCTGACGCGAACTGCGACCACTAGTGCGAGCAGCACGGACAGGCGACGCAGGGCGAGACGCAGGCTCACGACGCTCAGCAAGACCTCCTGTAGGACCAGTGTAGGGAGACGGAGCAAGCAGTGGGGAGGCCGGCTGTAACTGTAAATGTGACGGGACAGGTTGTGGACACTCGAAGGGAGGAGGAGGACCAGTAGAAGGCGGGAGACCAAGAACCTGCTGAAGGAGCGGAACAAAGTACGGACGAGGCCGCGCGGCGACTGTAGACACAGCAAGGACAACACTAGTACCCCCACCACAGCACCAGCACTAGCAGCACCTCTAGCTCTAGTACCTCCAGCAGCACAAGTAGCACCTCCAGCAGGACCGCCTCCAGGACCGTCAGCAGTAGCCTCCGTGCCAACACCCGCAGCAGCTCCAACTCGAGAAGTACCCGTAGGCCCAGCAGCTCCAGTACTCCCAGTACGAGCACCTACGGGACCTGCGGCACCAGCACCCTCAGCAGCACCAGAACCTCCAGTACCCGCAGCACCTCCAGCTCCAGCAGCTCGCCTCCAGCGTTGGGCAAACCACTCACGCAGCTCCTGTGGAGAGAGTGACTCTCGGCGAGACGAGGCACCTGGAGAACCGCCAGGCTCAGCACCCCCAGAGTCAGCACCCCCAGGCTCAGCACTCCCAGGCTCAGCACCCCAAGCTTAGCACCCCCAAGCTCAGTACCCCCAGCGGCAGCACCAGCACCAGCAGCACCTCCAGCTCCAGTACCTCCAGCAGCACCAGTAGCACCCCAGCAGGACCGCCTCCAGGACCGACAGCAGTAGCCTCCGCGCCAACACCCGCAGCAGCTCCAACTCCAGAGGTACCCGCAGGCCCAGCAGCTCCAGTACTCCAAGTACGAGCACCTCCACGACCCGCGGCACCAGCACCCTCAGCAGCATCAGAACCTCCAGTACCCGCAGCACCTCCAGCTCCAGCAGCTCGCCTCCAGCGCCGGGCAAACCACTCACACAGCTCCTGTGGAGAGAGTGGCTCCCGGTGAGACGAGGCACCCGGAGAACCGCCACGCACAGCACCGCCAGACGCCACACGAGCAGGCGCAGCTCCCTCAGACTCAGCACCTCCAGGCTCAGCACCTCCAGGCGTAGCACCCCCAGGCTCAGCACTCTCAGCAGCACCAGAGTCACCAGCGACCTTGACAGGCTCAACAACGTCTACCTGGGACACATCTGAAGGGGCAGGACCTTGAGGGGGGAGGGGGTCTATCGGGGGGGGACCTGGCACAAGCAAGAGCGGTGGCGGGGGGAGGGACTGAGTGCGGTAGGGGAAGAGACGGTTGTCGGGGACCAGCTCGTCGAACGTGACGTCCTGGGAGGACAGAACACGGCGAGAGGTGGGGTGGTAGAACTGCCACCATGGCGCGTCAGGGGGGAGACCCAGGAAGACGCAGGGAGCAGCACGAGGGGACAGCTTGTCTGCAGACAAGTCGCGGACAAACGCTCAAGATCCCCAGACACGGAATGCAGACGCATCGCCAACCTTCCCCGTCCACAGCAAAGCTGGGGAGGTCTCTTGCATGGAGACCCTGGGCTGAAGGTTGATCTGATGCGCCGCGTACCGGACCGCAAACGGCCACAGAAAATGGGGGGCAGCCGCATGCATCATGGACGTACGGGCGACGTCCATGACCATGCCAATGCGGCGCTCAGCAATCCCATTTTGCTGTGGAGAGTCCGAAAGCGTGAAGGTCTGGCGGATGCCTCGTGCACGACAGTAGGCTCGCAGAAGGCCAGAGGAGAACTCTCCTCCTCTGTCAGAGTGCAGGCGCAAAACAGAAAAGTCAGAGCCGAAGCTCTGCCTGAGCTGGAGACGAGCTGCGCGGATCCAGTCGATCAACACCTCAGTGATATCACCCTTGCTGCGCAAGCGGAAGACTGTGGTGTAACGCGAGTAGTCGTCAACCACAAGCAGGAAGTAGCGCTCGTGACCCTGTCCACGGACGCGGGCTGGGCCCCACACGTCCATGTGAAGCGTCTGCAGCGGGGCCTCTGTCGGAGGAAACTGAGAGGAGTGAGGGGCAGCCCGCTGCCGCCCCTCGACACAAGGAACGCAGGTTGGGCCAGGCCCCGGAGGAAGGGGAGGGAGGGACCGGGGAAGACCAGAGACAAGGACACAGGAGGCCATGCTTCGGAGACGAAGCAGGGAGGGGTGACCAAGGCTGTGGTGCCAGAGGAGAGTCTCGTGAGACAGGAGACGATACGAGCAGGGGGTAGACTCAGGACTTGACCTGGACGCTGCAACAAACACCTGACCCGACGCAGCTACCTGATCAGACGCAGTGACTAGAGGAGACGCAATGGTCAACGTGTACAGGCTCGACCCCGGCCGACGAGTAAACGGGGCCAGGTGTCGGCCTGTCCGAGCATCCATGCAGTGGGTCACCCGCTGACTCGTAGGAGTGAACTGGTGATCCCCCGCATCCTGTAGGTCAGCACCACTCACCAAGTTCGTAGAGAACGAGGGGAGGTAAAGACCAGACAGGGTGCCAGAGGGGGCCGCAGGACACGGGAGGATAGTGGAGAAGTGAGCAAGGACAGGACCCCCAGAGGGGTCTGCCAGAGAGACTGCAACTGGCCGACCAAGCGGCGTGAGTGTGGTGTGGTCTCGAAAGAAGGAGCGGGAAGTCACCGAGTCAAGAGTGAAGGTGTGAGAGGCCGGTGCCGACGCGGTACCTGAGAGAGCAGACTCACCTGCACCTGAGGAAGCAGACTCACTAGCACCTAGAGCAGCAGCCGCACCTGTACCTGGAGTAGGAGACTCACTAGCACCCAGAGCAGTAGCCTCACCAGCAGCTAGAGTAGCAGGCTCTATACCCGGGTCAGGCGGTACGCACAGGTGACCGGCACGGTCAGCACTAGTAGGCAATGCATACATGGCAGTGAGAATAGCATCATAGTCAAGAGCAAATATATCTACCCTCTGCCTAAGCAACTCCACCCAGTCGGGGAGCTCAGCCTCGTCGCCAAACTCGGTACGCCAGGCATCGCTCAGACGGGCGAAGCAGCGGGACTGTGCGTGACTAGGTGTCCCACAAGGCTGACCAGTCCGATCACCAGTGCGAATCACGTAAGAGCAGCGAACAGAACTGAGAGACCCTCTACTCTGAGCGTACCACTCACGAAGCTGCTGGGGCGTGAGAGACGCGCGTGGACATTGCAGGAGCTGCATCTGGCCGCTGTTAGTAGTAGTAGCAGCAGTAGTGGTAGCAGTAGCAGCGCCGCCACCCCTACAACCCCAACCAGCGTACCACTCACGCAGCTGCTGGGGCGTGAGGAACTCACGCGGACGTCGCTGGGGCTGCATCTGGCTCCGCTAGTAGAAGCAGGATCAGGAGTAGCAGCAGTAAGGCAGGGAGCCAGGCAGGCCGAATGGCAGGCAGGCAGGCAAGCAGGCGCCGGGCAGCGCGCTAGCAGGGCAGGGGCTCACCAGTGGTGTGAAGAGCAGGCTCGGCGACTCGGCGACTCGGCGGTGCGGGCGGCTCGGGCGGCTCGGCGGCACGGCGGCTCGGTAGCAACTGCGGCTCGGCGGCTCGGGCGACTCGGGCGGCTCGGCGGCAAATGCGGCTCGGCGACTCGGCGGCTCGGGTGGCTCGGGCGGCTCGGCGGTACGGCGGCTCGGCAGCAACTGCAGCTCGGCGGGGCCGCTTGGGGACGGCGGCGGGGCCGGGTGGAGCGGCGACGGGGCCAACAAAGGTGGCGCCGGGGCCGCAGGGTAGGTGACGGGGCCAGGAGAGGCGGCGCCGAGGCCGGGAAGGGCGGCGCCGCGGCCGCAGGGTAGGTGACGGGGCCAGTAGAGGCGGTGCCGGGGCTGGTAAGGGCGGCGTCGAGGCCAGCAGAGGTGGCGTCGGGGCCGGGAAGGGCAGCGCCGGGGCCGCAGGGGTAGGCGACGGGGCCAGCAGAGGCGGGGCCGGGTCGGGAAGGGCGGCGTCGGGGTCGCCGGGGTAGGCGATGGGGCCAGCCGAGGTGGCGCCGGGGCCAGGAAGGGCAGAGCCGGGGCCGCAGGGGCAGGCGACGGGGCCAGCACAGGCAGGGCCGGGTCGAGAAGGGCGGCGTCGGGGTCGCCGGGGTAGGCGATGGGGCCAGCCGAGGTGGCGCCGGGGCCAGGAAGGGCAGAGTCGGGGCCGCAGGGGCAGGCGATGAGGCCACCAGAGGCGGGGCCGGGTCGGGAAGGGCGGCGCGACGCGGCCGCTAGGGCGACGCGACGAGATGGGGCCGCGACGGGGCAGCGAGGGGTCGCACGCCTAGAAGGAACGGGGCCGCGCGCCTCGGGGCACGCGCCAGAGAGAAAATTGCCGCGCGCAATAGGTTGCACGTCACGGGGCGTGCGACGGATCGAGTAGCAGCGGAAGCAGTAGTAGGGCCCACAGGCCAGGAGCATATGTGCTCTGAAACCATGTGAGAATGAACGAGAAAATGAATGCACTATGAAAGAGTTGGGTACAAGTACTAACCCTAATTGGGTTGTACCCCATATAGGCTACCCCTCTACCCCTACACAAAAGCATAAGCTATAATGTTCTGACAACATGAACTATAACACTTCGTTTGTGTTTTATAATTAATCCTGACATGCGGCCTTTTTAACAATACGAGATAAGTATCTTATCTTTTGGATTAGATGAAACAAACATTTTGGGTTTTAAAATCAAACAATCCAATACCAAGAACCTTGGTGGTGAGAGGATGGGAGGGGAAGGGGGTGGTCAAAAGAGTCTTTCATTTCATTCTGTGTTTAAAGTATTGAAATGTCAGGTTCTATATGACGTTTCGATTCCTGAGCTGTCTTTTGCTGCCTTCAAGCGCCCAATTTGTGCCCAACCTCGTGTATGGAGGTTCTCCCATAGCTAGGGTCCTCGTCAATACGAGGACATAAATGGGGTATATGTTGACGAGGTAAAAGCCCCGCCCTCGTTTGGGGCGAAGCCGACATCGTTGTCGAAACTGTAAGGCGTGTCAAACTATGATGTAGTGTGTGTTGTGTAGGGTATAGTGGGGTAGCTCATATGGGGTACAACCCAATTAGGGTTAGCACTTGTACCCACCATTCCTCATAGTTCATTCATTCTCGCTTAGTTGTCTAAGAAGGCGTGCAGTCCGTCAGACCTTGGAGGAGCCGTCTCGGAGAAGCAACTCGTCTTTGTTAGCCGGCCACAACGAAAGCGAAGCCGACCACTGCGAAGTCGACCAGACGCTGGCCGGCGAAGCGGAGTTGGCAGACAACGATGTTAAGATACTAAGCATGAGTAGGCTTAGGAGCCATAGGTTTAGTAGCTTAGTGATCGAGTTCGAGGGTAAGGAGAAGTGTCGAGAAAGTTGAGACGGAAGTGATGTTCACTATAGCACAAGAGTACATATAGCAAACAGAGCATGCAAGGTGCACCACCAACTAGAAAGTTATATGACTACAGTATTCTACACTACAGGCAGTTATAGAACAATATATAGAATTATATATTAGTCTGACACGCCCCCATAAGTGCCTGTAGGGAAGAATGTGCAGTCAACGCCCCCTGAAGGGGTACACCAAGTGCAGGAGAAGGAGAGGGGAAGTGAGGAGGAGGAGGGACTGTGACAGGAGAGGAGATGGGAGGCGACGGCGGAAGCGGCAGATACACGGCGCAACTGGAGCAACTGGCACACGGGCAACTGGAGTAACTGGCTCCGCGGCTAGACGAGCGGCAGGAGCAACTGACCCATGGGCTACTGGAGCAACGGGCTCACTGGCGACTGGAGCTACGGGCTCACGGGCGACTGGCGCAACAGTCTCACGGGCGACTGGAGCTGCTGGCTTCACGGCGGCCACCTCCACTCAACCTCCCCCACCTGTCCCACACTCATCACCCCCACACCCGCCACCCCCATACCCATCACCCCCACACCCACCACCCCCATACCCACCCCCCCTTGGCTGCACCGGGTCCAGGAGCGGCTGCTGCAGTGGCGGCTGCTCCAGGGGCGGCTGCTCCAGGGGCGGCTGCTCCAGGGGCCAGGGGCGGTTTCTGCAGTGGCGGCTGCTCAAGTGGCCAGGGCCGGCTGCTCTACGGGCCAGGGGCGGCTGCAGGTGCGGCTGCTCCAGGCGCCAGGGGCGCCTGCTGCAATGGCGGCTGCTCCAGAGGCCAGGGGCGGCTGCTGCAGGGGCGGCTCCTCAAGGGGCGACTGCTGCAATGGCAGCTGCTCCAGAGGCCAGGGGCGGCTGCTGCAGGGGCGGCTGCTCCAGGGGCGGCTGCTGCAGTGGCGGCTGCTCCAGGGGCGGCTGCAGTTGCAAGGCAGGCCCGCGCGCTGTTGCAAAGCAGGCGCGGGCACAGGGGAGGCAGAGGCGGCGGCCGGGGGGGGGGGGGGGGGGGGCGCGACGAGCAGGTGACGGGGCCAATAGGGGCGGCAACGGAGCCGAGAAGGGGCGGCGACAGGGCCGCGAAGGGGCCGCGAGGGGCCGAGAAGGGCGGCCACGGGGCCGCTAGGAGTGGCGACAGGGCCGATAGGGGCGGCGACAGGGCCGCGAAGTGTGGCGACGGGGCCGTTAAGGGTGGCGCGAGGGGCCGTGAGAGGAGCAGCGACGGGGCCGCGAAGAGGCCGTGAGGGGCCGAGAAGGGCGGCGACGGGGCAGGAAGACGCCGCTCGCCCGGGGCGCACGACGGGCGGAAAACCGCCACGCGCTCGCGCGCGACAGACAGGAAAGCAGCGGAAGCACGTGGGGCCCACAGGCCAAGAGCGTAGTTGCTTTGATTCCATGTTAAGATACTAAGCATGAGTAGGCTTAGGAGCCATAGGTTTAGTAGCTTAGTGATCGAGTTCGAGGGTAAGGAGAAGTGTCGAGAAAGTTGAGAGGGAAGTGATGTTCACTATGGCACAAGAGTACATATAGCAAACAGAGCATGCAAGGTGCACCACCAACTAGAAAGTTATATGACTACAATATTCTACACTACAGGCAGTCATAGAACAATATATAGAATTATATATTAGTCTTACAAACGAAGCAGGCCACAACGTAGGCCGATAAAGTGAAGTCGGCGGACGGTGCCCAGGCTTCGCAGTCGACAATAGTGGTTGTCGACATGATGCTGACTTATTGGGGCTACCGACTTAGCGGCCTCTTCTAGACGGCAAAGTTTTGGGGGAGTGCGCAAATTTTGCCCTGGGCGGTTTTGGCGAAGTCGACCAACATCACGTGGTCGACGTGTGCATCTGACGCAACTGTCGGCGCGTGGTTGACTTGGCACCTACGCAATGTGTGTGAAGGAGCACGATGTTCTCAACCGTCTACCCGCACCTACGAAGTAGTTGTGTGCTCATGCGCATATACGGTAGTCACGTATGGTTGCAACACTAGCAAGCCGCCTTAGTGTAGCGCTGGCAAGTCACCAACTTGCAATGTTGGCATGCCGACTTCAAGCTGCGCTAATACGCCGCTGAGTTGCCATGCTGGCAAACCGCCCTCGTGCTACACTGGATGTTGACCTGCATGCTTGGTAGGCTTGTTTTGTCCACGATGTTGCACGTTTGCTATTGCATTGTGCATTCATTGTTCTCAACTTTTATTAGTGCAACTCTTGCTGTTTTGCCCTGTGAACATGCAAGGAACGCTACAATCATTCGTACCACCCGCCGCCCCACGTAGTTCAGCTACCCAGGTGTAATGTGACTCCCCGGAGTATGTGTAGCTACATACAACCTTTAAAGCTAGCAACTAAAATAGTGAACCCCGACCCAGCTTGAAAGAGTGTTGCGAGGAATTTCTCAAAGAGAAATATATCACAAGAAAAAAGCACTAATACAATCATCCAAACTTTTCAGGTCGAACTGATGTGATTGGCTACCGCCAAAAATGATTAAAAAAAAAAAAAAAAAAAAAATCGCTCCCGCCAAAAGAATGTCAGCCGTCGCACGTCTACGTGCTGCACTTGCACGAACATTGTGAAATGATGGGTTGAGTCGCCTGGCCAACTTCAGTTTCAAGCTGGGATGGGGTTCATATCTCTCTTTCACACTTCCGTAGTCACTAGTTTATGTCTAGCTAAGAATAGCTGAAATCCTAGTCGCCCTTCTCATACGCCCGCAATTAGCAACGTAGCTCGAGTGCGTAATGTAGTAAGACGTGGCCTCTCAGCGTGATGCAATTTCTTTCATCTCGCGCGAAATCGTCAAACTCCCATTTGAACCATGCCTTTGCTACCATCGCCGCTCACTCGTCGCTATCGCGCTCGCCTTTCACTACAACCCTCCAGATCGCCCTTTCGATTTCCCCTCCCATTCCATCGCCCTCCTCTTCTCACTATGAGGATCTGGTTCAGGAAATATAAATCT